GAGAGAGAGAGAGAGAGAGAGAGAGAGAGAGAGAGAGAGAGAGAGCTACGTGACGGTGACCGGAAGTAAGGGACGACCGTGTAAACTTCATTGTCACACTTATCACCGAAAGAAAGAAACGGATAGTGTCTTACACATAACACACGTACACACACGTAACACGCACATACACAAGTATACTTGCACGACACGAAGTACGACCCCGATTGTATTACAAATATTATATAAGTGCGCCATAGTTCTCTCCCACGTCCGAGACACACCTAAAGGATATAATGTTATTGTTATATGCGTACGTTGTAATATATGTGGACGAAGCATGTGCTCACAACCCTGTAACAAAATAAATTCCTCCTTTCTCCCCCCCCCCCTCGCCCTTCTCGCCCCTTCCCGAACTTACGCACTTGTTACACGCACACACATAAATACAATACATACATACATACATACAATGTGCGCGGGTTCCAACGACGATGGTGGGAATCCCGCGTCATATATATCCCGGTGTACGTCACACCGCGAAGACATAGATAACAAGAATCACACTTCAACGTTAACATACAACCTAGGACTGTGTCGGTAGCTATCGTTTTCTTATTATCACCGATGGACCTCGGCGAACGGGCGCCGTCGTCGTCGGTCGGAAGTGCCGGCGCACCTGCGACGAGCTCTCGCGAATTGGCGGACGTGTTAGTGAGCTTTTACACTGAACTATAGGAATGGATGTGTCGGATGGCGACACGTGATCTCTCGCTGATGAAGCAAGTCCCGCTGTGCCTTTCGATTTGCTCCGAGGTGCACCGGCTCTCCCTCGGCCGAGGCCGCGCGGGTCTTCTCGCCTCGTGATCGTCGATCCACTGTCTCGATCCTTATAAAAATGTTAATCCCCATAAAACCGCAACAATCGTCCTGAATAAGTAACGACGAGCGGATATTAAACGTTGTCCATAATTGTAAGGATTGTGTCCTTCCGGCGAAAGCGGCCGAACAATCGACTCGAGCGGCGAGCACGCGTTGAGAACGTAAAAAGAAGAAAAAAAAAGAAGAAAAAAAAAGAAGATATTGCATGCTTGTGATTCGAGTGCATTTCAAGATGTGTAACATAATAAATTTGTATCGTGGCATAGTCCGATAAAATTACGAATCTTCCCGCGTGAACTCATTAGATCGTCAATTACACCAGTGTATACCTTAACGGTTTCGAATAATAATCATTCTTTCGTCGAGAGTAAGGCAAGAGAGGGAAATGCGCGCGGACGGGGTCCAAATTCTGAAAATCGAACGAATGAACGAACGCACGGAGACATCAGGCTTGAGACAACAAACGGAAAAAGAAATGGTATTCTAAAATTACCATATAAGATCTTTAAGTACTACCACTGTAATTAAGGATATAAAGATGAAATTAAACGCAGAAACGGGCAAACCGTCAACCGACATTGTACGTCAGTCACTCTCTGATTGTGTTACTCTTTCCCACAGATACGATGACTAATCAACTCTGCACGACGATCGAATTAGATCCACGTTAGGTCTCTGTTTCGAACGGATTTCTGTTGTTTCGTTAAACAAGTAACGCACGTCTACGCGTTACTCGTTTAAGGAAAATATATCCTAAGCGCGTTACAGGTAAGTGATACAGTATAGAAAGATTGTCAGACGTATGTATGTGTGTGTGCATGCATACATATCTGTGTATGCGTGCGTATGGATTTACAGGGGTTCAACGTGCGTGTATCGCACATACGAAGATAATTTAGACATCACGAATTTATTTGTCACGTCTGTGAAATATTGTAAATCGAATTTTATTTGCAGTTGTCTAAATACACTGGGATGCATTACAAATAAGCGCTAAACGTCTATAATTTATTATAATCTACGTAATACGAGTACAGGGAATTTTCCGTTTGGACGATACTACGATATTTTAGAGGTTTACATTGCGTAATGTAAGGATTCACTTTTTTCGTTTATATCGACGTAACTCTCCACTCACTCAGGTAGTGCGAGAAGGGTATAGCGTTATAAAAATGGTAAAAATGGTAAAAATGGTAGTCCACGGACTGATATTGCAATCATATTTGTCTAATCTAGATTAGTGTACCATGAATATCCGCAGGGAAGAAATTAGACATGGGAGAGACGCGAAGTAAATAAACGATTGGGTAAGCATACCATCGTTGCGTTAACAGATGATAACTGTCAACGTCAAGTCAAATTCGTCAAAGTACACTTTAATGTTTTTACAAGTGCTTCCGTATTAAGAAGTCACTTTGTAGTAAATTCGGTTGGATAAACTTAGTGCGCACTGGTATACACTGAAGCAGTTATACATGGACGACCAAGTCCACATACAACAAAAATAAGTTCGCGAACTCTTTAGGAGAAGTTCAGCGGAAAATGTTGCACAAATAAAATGTTGTTCTTTTCAGAACGCAGGTGATTTTACATATATATCTAAAATGGGCAAAGTAATCGGCGCGAGTTGTGATATCGGACGGGATACACCTTAAAAGTGTTCATTCTAACGTGTATTCCGGTCAAAGCACTTGCGCCCTTACATTTCGTAGGCTTTAAGTAAATTAGCGTTTTGTAATAGGCATTAACTCGCACCAGCGTGCACTATTATTATCATTTCGCACGATAGTGACAGTTACCTTACATTGCTGATGTAAGAAATCCGCGCGAATAGTCGATTACACCGTGAAATATGCCTAAATAGTTCTCATTGCAGACAGCGCGAATGTATAATTCAGGGCAATTGTCTCGAGAGTTATCATGACGTACATTCTTGTTCTTGTCTCATGTTAGACGTAAAAAAAAAAAAAAAAAAAAAAAAAAAAAAAAAAAAAAAAAAAAAAAAAAAAAAAAAAAAAAAAAAAAAAAAAAAAAAAAAAAAAAAAAAAAA